GGCTACCATGACCCCTGACCTCCTGATGGCCCTCTGAGGTGCAGGCTACCATGACCCCTGACCTCCTGATGGCCCTCTGAGGTGCAGGCTACCATTACCCCCATCCCCCTCACCTCCTGATGGCCCTCTGAGGTACAGGCTTCCATGAGCCCCGACCCCTCACCTCCCAACGGCCCTCTGAGGTGCAGGCTTCCATGACCCCCATCCCCCTCACCACATCAACGTGCCAATGTTACTTCTTCCATTTTCTCTTTCTCTTAGCTGGCCTCTCAGGAGCTAAATTTCAGCTCAGGGCTTTCTTCCAACCAATATAAACCCAATATTATTTCCAAGAAAAATATTCTATGCCTTTCTGGATGCTTCTTACCCCAGCAGCTACAGGACTTTCTTGAAGGTAAAAAAGTATACCATAGATCAAGCATGCACTAACGTCTCACTTCAGTCCTACTCTATCCTCCCAAAGCCCAGCTGTACAGCTACCTGTTCCTCACTGCTCTGAACACCATTCCCATCGCCAAATTAAAGAAATACTGTTGTCAAGAGCTTTCCCCATCTTTGAACTACTTCATAAGACTCCCCTATCTGTAACACCTAGATCTTTTGTTCATTTATTTATCTGTTGCCAACAAATTTCAGAGAACCTACTACCCCAGGGCAGCTGTCCCTGCCCCCAAAGAATTTAAAGTCTGGGGTTGAAGCTAAGTAAGAAAAGATAAAAATTATAATACAATCTAATCATTGTAACCATAGCATGTCATTAGAATGCAGGTTCCAAGAGAACGGGGAATTTGTTTGCTATGTATTGCAATGTTCCCTAAACCAGAGCAGTGCCTGACACATGGAAGGCACCTAATAAATAGGTACTGAATGAATAAATGAATGTGGCCAGGCCACAGAGCATATAATCCAATAACATTTATAACATTTGCCCAAAGATACTTGTAGCTACTACTTACCATGCATTTCCTAGTCATGTGCACTGTTAGGCACTTTCCAGAGGTAATCTCGTGTCATCACTACCACAATCACCACATTAGCACAGTGCAATCCTTGTTATTTCCATTTTGCAGAGAAGACAAAAAAAAACCTAATGTGCAAACTTCAACTTAAGTTGAAGATTCCATAGTCAGTGGGCAACAAACCCAATCTGCCCCACTGGAAAGCCTGTGCTCCTAACCACTAGGCACAGTGGCCAAGGAGGAGGACTGAAGTGACAGGATACACAGGGGCAAGTTCCCAGAAGAAGTGCAAAGACTGGGGAACTAGACCAGTGAGGAGAGGAAACTTTTCCCAGTTAAATACAATAGGTTGTATCAATTCTTTTCACAGTTGCTGATATGAACACTTCAAGAGAAAATAACCCAACAGAGTATGTTTAAGCAGGGAAATTCTCACATTCTTAAAATGACTGAAGTGCTTCCCTACCAATTTTGAACGCAGAAGGACTCTAGGATTTGCAGTTTAGGGAAGCCCAGCCACATGGAAAAGCAACTCTCAAGTACATCTCTCAATCCTCCTAGGGAGAGGAAAGTCTCATTTCAGAAAAACACAAGGGAAGGACTCAAGAAAGTGCTTTATAATTGCATACCTAAAAGCCCAAACTTCCAAACCTATGTGCTTCTACTGACTTAAGACATTAAGAAGCAAATTCTGGCCCTTTTATTCCAAGACACACAGAATCATGACTCCAAATATGGTCAATAAGATAAAGATGCTTCTTCTTTCATTTGCCCTCATGGGCTCTAGACTAAACTGCTTTAATCTTGGCAATAAACATTGATTGAGCATCAATTATCTATAAGGCATTGTACTACATACACTAGGGATACAACAGCAATCAATCCATTCTATCAGAGGAAGAAAGACAAGAAAATAAAAAATAAGAGCATTTGGAACAGTGATTAGTGCTGTGCAAAAATGGAAAGGATGGTGGGTTGGAGAGCATGGGCCACAGAGGGCCTCTCGAAGGCTTTCACTAAGACTAAAAAGATGGGAAAAGGTACTTGGGAGGAGCACATCCCCAGTGAGACAAGGAAGATGGGAAAACAGCAAGAACAAAAGCCCCACGATGGAAATGAGTCTGGGGTGTTTGGGGTAAGAAAGGCCATGTGGCTGGAGCTCATTTAAGGAGAAGAGGGTAGAACAGATGAGCATGGGGAGACCTAGAGGGGCCAAATCAGGTATGGCCTTGTAGGCCACTGGCAAGATTTGAGATGCTAAATGCAATGAGAAGTCACTGAAAGCTTTTATTAAACAGCAAGGTAACATGGACTGGTTTTTGCTTTAAATGGTTCACTCTGGATGTCATCAACAGGGATAGAGACCCACACTTTCCCAGGTACACAGCACAATGGTTAGCATCTGAGAAAGAGACAAGAATTCCTGCATATGCCAACAACCACCAGAGTCCCAACCAAAAAGTGGAAGGCACTCTTGGTGACCAACTGCTTAGACTTCCAAGAATGTGCTCTCAATAAGAACTTTTTGAGGGGTTGGGTTTATTTAAAAAATAATAATAATAAGACAACGGTTTTTTTTTTTTGTTTTTTTTTTTGAAACCCAAGTTTCCCTTATCCTTTTCCATTCCCTCAATGGATGAGGCTCAAAAATCTTCCCCCTTAAAAAAAAAAAAAAAAAAAAAAAGAACATCTGTGCTTCAGGGAGGCCAGGGAAGAGGCATAAATACCCTCCAAACATTTAGATTCTAGTCCTGAACTGAAAGCCTGAGACGGAGAGAAACCGGCAATCTGAGTTTCAAGTCAGGGGTTTGGTCACTTGGTTGGCCTAATAGGACGGAGACGCCAACCTGCAGGGAGAGAAAGACAACATTAAACGCCGGTCAGCTTGACTGTCACCCACTAAACAACAAGTACCAGGAAAACACCATCTCGACATCCAGCATATCAAGGCAGTCCACGTGAGGCTATATTTATGGCAATACCATGCCAGAAATCTGGGCTAATCTGACTCTGCTATTCATAAATTCCCCCTCATGTTAAAGCACATGTGTTTGGGAAGGAAAACTGAATCCAAGTCAATTTTAGACATTGTTACTTGGAAACCATCTGGAGTCCCTGGAAGCATAAGAAGCCACCGCATCCCCTGCCCTCAAATGCCCACTGTAACTAGGGCAGTATGCTTAGATGGGAGTTTAGATGTCCCCTATTCCCCAGAGACATCCCCACCCCCACCCTAGCAGGTGCCGGCTCAGGCTCCACTTCCCACCCAAGAAAGGTATTTGGTTTCTTGATAAACCCAGTGGAGAGCTCTCCATGTGTTGAACGTGCACTTGAATTGCACCCAAGGCTGGTTCTTTGCTTCCCGATTGCTTTAGAACGCACACCTTCATTCCTCTGCCCCGGTAGCAAGGGAAAACTCTCCCCAGGAGTAGGGGTTCCGCAAAAATTAATCCCCTCTACCTAACAATCTTGTGTTCAGAAAATGTCTGGCTTTGGTAGAGACCCACCAAAAAAATCCTTATGTAACCTTAATAGATGTTGGCACCCCGCAGAGAGGCTCTGGTGTCACTAGCCCAGATGTAGTCCATTTACATCGTGATGACAGCAAGCTGGGTCTCAAAGCTTCCCCTGGGGACCTGGCTCTTCTTTCCTTTGGGGCTTCTGTTCCCCTCCCTACCTGGCTGCCATCCTCTGCTTATCTCATCTTCCAGAGGAGTGGGCCTCCGTTCTGAAGCCTCCTCCCTCCCCTGAAATCAGTCTCAGGACCAAGCCCAGAGCAGCGCCATTCCCTCTTCTCACAGTCCCCACCCCCATCCTCTCCCCACCACCTAACGCCTTTAAAAAACCCGGCTAGGAAAGTGATCCAGAATCTGGTACAGTCATAGTCCCTGAAAACAAACACGGCGGAGGGGCAGGCCGACCAGGCCCAACACTTCCACTGGACCCAGGAGCAGCCCTGAACTCTGCGCAGGGGACAGGAGGGAAGGGATCTCCGGAGACCGACTGCGGTTCGCCTGCTGCCAGCACAATCACAGCAAACACCTGTTTCCAGGAAGATACGCGGCCAGAGAGAGAAGGGAGTCCCGGGGAACGGCAGGGAGGACGAGGTGAAGGGGCAGCTGGGGACGCAGGTAAAGGATGCGTCACACTTTGCACTGGGCAACCGGAGCCCCGGAGCAGCAGGCAGCGAGCGAGAACGGCTGCGGGGTCTGCGAAGTTCAGAGAAAAGGGGTCGCGCCCGCGAGCGGCGCCTGGAGCGAGCTGGCGCAGGGGTAGAGACAGCGGGGAGGAGGACTAGAGGCCAGGCGGGCTCCATCACCTGCGCGCCTCGGCCGATGCAGCCTCGCGGGCGCGCACCGGCCCCCGGCGGCCAGCGGGTGACCTACCTGCCCACCGTCTGGTTGGCCAGCTGGCGCATGCGATTGAACTGCTTCTTCATCGTGGCCCCGCTGCCGCGCTAGCCCGGGAGCTGGGGAAGGACGGAGCAGCCCGGAGCCCGCCGCAGGGTTACATGGCTCCCGCGCGGAGCCTCCCGGGCGACGGCGTCGGCACTGCGGAGCCTCGGGAGCCGTCTGGCCCGCGCGCAGCTCCCTCCCGAGGGCACCACCGCCTACTCCTCCTCCCGACGCGCCGCCTCCTGCCGCATCCCCCTCACGCGCGCCGCGGCGCACTCATCGCGATCCCGGGGCCGCCCTGGCGCCCGGCCGGTCCGCGCGGGCTGCCTGCCCCCAGCCCCAGTCCGCCGCGGGCACTGGGAGTCTCCGCAGGCTGGCCGGCCCGCTGGCCAGGTGGTCGCCGTGCGCCTGTGCGGAGGGCGCCGTGCATGCCGGGACTTGTAGTTCCGCGCCTGGTGCCCACCTTTCCTCTGTCCAAAGTTTGAAAGGACAGCCAGGTGCGGCGGGTGGGAGAAGGAGCCGGTGTGGCCAGCAACTCGGCTCTTTGCCATTTCAGCAAGAGAAACGTTTTTCTGTTTAGAAAACGGCAAAGTGGGACTAAGAATACAACAGCAAATAAAAAAAAGTGAGCATCTGTCTCCCATTGTATTTTAAGTGAATTTCAGGCATCACTGTTCTGAATTCTCAGCAGGGTGATTTATGTAGCAGATACCGGAGCTTATGAAATTGTGTAAGGTTACCAGATTAATGCTAAGATGCGGGGTTAAACTTGGGGCAGGGGGCCTGAAGGCAGATTTTGAACCAGGCATAGCCTGCCTTCCAAAAGTCTGACCTTTAATGTTTACCAAACCCAATATACAGATAGTGACATAACATCTAATGGCCAACAAGTCTGGGACAGCTTTCTGACTTGGTTTAGATTCCAGTCTCATATCTGTTCCCGTTTCCCTTCCTCCACCAGGAAACCCAGGGGCGTCGGCTGTGGCAGGCCCAGAAAGCCCTATGTAACAGCACCCCATTGGCATCCGTGAGCTCCTTGACTGGAGCTGTGGCTTTCTTCGTTCGCTATATTTAGGAAAAGATAGGTGATTGCACTGAGGTTTTACTATCATGTAGCAGATAAGAGCAGTGTTATTGGGTGCTAGGGACTTAGGATCAAAGAGATATGAATTCCTGTATCATAATTCCACATACCTACTCTATAATTTTGGAAAAATTGCTTAATCTCTCTAAGCCTTGGTTTCCTCGTCTCTAATAAGAAATATGCTGCTTGGGCGGTGCCTGTGGCTCAAAGGAGTAGGGCACCAGTCCCACATGCTGGAGGTGGCGGGTTCAAACCCAGCCCCGGCCAAAAAACATTAAAAAAAGGAAAAGAAATATGCTGCTTGATAGCAAAGTAAGAAAACCATGTGTTAATTTAACAACAATCAAATTACATATAAACTTCCATGTACTATATTCCCATATTCATTTACTACAAATATGCTTACAGTTAGCATAATAGAGAAAAACCCTATTACTACAACAGAATTACTAACTTAATAGTGAAATAACTTCTTCGAAATGGAGTATAGTTGCAAGATGTTCTAAATATGGCTGTAAGTATCTTGCTGGCCAGCTGAACAAAAAATGGTTTGAGGCATGTCTTGGCTGAGTGAACATAAAACCTTAATTAATTGTAAATTTAGCCTCTGCTTATTAGGTCAGACAGTTCTAGCCAAATAATAAGTGAAAGCATTGTTTGCTTTTAACCAACAGTGTTACACCTATAATGCCAATGTGTTTCTATGAACTGAAGTTATTTTCCTTTGAGATTTAAAAACAAAAACAAGGCAGAGTGTGGTCTTAGTATGTGTAAATGATACTTAGACATTAAGGTCGCTATATGACTTTTAGCAGCACCATCTCTGATAACGTCTAAAACAGCACTAACACGATAATCCCTAGACATAGGTGCCTTTTCAAATCTAAATTAATTAAAATATAAAATTTAGTTCCTAGTCCAAAAACAATAGATCTTAGTGAACTGCAAATTAGTTCAACCTCTGTAGAAAACAGTTATGAAGATTCCTCAAAGAATTAATGGTAGTATACCTACCATTGAATACATCAATCCCACTACTGGGTATCTAACTGAAGGAAAAGAAGTCATTTTATCAACAAGATACCTGCATTCAAATGTTTATTACAGGACAATTTATAATTGCAAAGATGTGGAATCAGCCCACGTGCCTATCAATGAGTGGTCTATGTATACCACGGAGTACTACTCAGCCATAAATAAGGATGAATTAATCCCTTTTGTAGCAATTTGGATGGAACTTGAGACCATTCCCCTAAGTGAAGCATCTCAAGAATGGACAAACACCACAAGTACTCTCTAAGAAACTGGAACTAACTGAGGGGCACACATGTGTGCAGAGGGCAGTAAAAGTCATCAGGGCAAAAACCTACCTAATGGGTACAATGAACACTTACAGCCATGACTCAAGCAGTAAAAAAAATCTGTCCATGTAACAAAAACATTTGCACTCCCTTCATATTTTGAAATAAAAGTAATTAATTTTAAAAAACAAAAAAACAACATTTAGTTCCTCAGTCGTTCAAGTCGCATTTTAAGACCTTAAAAGCCACATGTGGCCAAGGGCCTCTGTGTGCATAAGGCGCAGCACAGTGGTTGAACCTTCCTGTCCTCTCAGAATGTTCCACTGCCTAGCAGTAGTCCTAAAGAACAGCTCCAATATTGTGCCAGCCGCTGCCTTCAATCCCAAGATGTTTTAGTTCCAAAAGGAAAATCTATGCTTCCTTGCAAAAGACAGACTCCCCTGCCAGAGCATGGCCCGATTAAGTGATTGTTTCCCCACATATTCCATATTCTTCTGTGAACTCTCTCTCCACTCAGGAAGCAACCAGTACATTTTCTGCTTCCAACTGAAGGAAGTGAAAATAGTGCAGAAACAAGAGCTTCAGAAACACACTTGAGAGAACAGTTTTCAAAGAGGAGTTTTGAGTTTCAAGAACATGGGCTTTGGAGTCTTAATACTGTGTGTCATCAGAGTAGATTATGAAGAACATACTATGCTGCCTAGTCTAGATAAAGAAGCTACAGACTCTAAGGTGTTAAGTATGGTGATGGGGACTAGAAAACAGATTCTATATTAATATCCCAAAATTCCACTGTCAGCCCCTATGGGAAAAAAGATCTGGGATGGGGAGCCCATGGAATTCTGATTTGAAGATTGTTCTTTTGTTAAACACCAAAAGAAGAAAAAAAAAAAAAGACCCAATGATTTCATCTTTCTCTGTTGCACTCCTTTTAATAAAAGGATTTGTTCTATAAAATTTGAATTCAGACCAAAGGCCACATTTAAAGGCCTGGAAGTCCACTATTATATTTTACCTGACCTTTGAGGTCAAGATGGGTAGTGAGATTTTCTTTGGGCATTCACTGTGCTCAGAAGTGACCTATACCACTTCTGATTCCTGCAGTTTTAAGAGTAATTTTGTGAATCCTGCCCCCTTTCTTTTTTCACTTTACCATAACACAGGCAATGAACAGTTAGGAGCAGCTGTGGGACAACCAGCTTGAGAGCAAAAGGTATCTTGGCAATAATTCAGAGTTAGGGGATTGTTTGTTACTGTAACATAACTGAGTCTAAGCTGACAGCTAATAGAGGATATCTTTAACAAAATGGCTTGCCTTTCCCTATAGTCAACACAGAGGTTGGGTAAGCAGGCTTGAGGCACTTACATCTGCCCAGTAGAGGAACTATACACCACTCCTGGAGGGCAGGCTGGGAGTGGCCAAGCTCAAAGTGCTCATCTACCCTTCTAAGGCACTGAAACAGGGTGGACGTCTACATGGAAGGCCCAAAGCACCTACAGCAAGGCCTGCAGCAGTGCCAGAACTCCTTGCATCCGAGCCATGCACAACGACCTGGTGTGTGTCTGCGGGGATAGAAATGTACCTGAAACAGCTAGATGTGAAAGCTGATGAGGAAGGAGAGGAGGAGGAGGAGGCAGCATTGGCCAAATGGGGACTAAAGAAGGCTGAATTGCCTGAAATTTAATTTTTGCTGCCTAGAAAAATAGACTTGAAATAAAAATTAAGTTCACTTGCTAAAGAAGGAGAGTAGGGAAGGAAGGAGAAATAGGAGGAGGAGGAGGAGGAGAAAAGAGGAAAGAAAATTATATTTCTTAATACCTGACTTTGACCTATGAAAGGACTACATTTTCCTCCTCCTGTTGACCTTCACTTTGGCCTTGTAACTTGCTCCAACAAAATAAAGTTGTTGTTTTTTTTTTACATGCTTTAGCAATATTATAGTACTTTTTTTTTTTTTTTTGGCCAGGGCCAAGTTTGAACCCACCACCTCCAGCATATGGGGCCACTGCCCTACTCCTTTGAGCCATAGGTGCCACCCAATATTATAGTACTATTTATCTGATATATGTTCCCTTAGATGTCTGATATTCCATTTAGAAGCCCCCAGATTAGAATGGTTTTGGCCTTTTCATCTTGAGTGTGGGCATTTGTAAGAGCTGCCCTGGCCAACATGGGAGTCTCTGGCCGCATGTGGTTATGTAAATTTAATTTTAAATTAGGTTAAATAAAGTAAAACAAGTTTCTCATTTCAAGTGTCCAATAACCACATGTGGCTAGTGGCTGCCGTATTATACAGTAAAAGAGAACATTTTCATCACCACAGAAAGTTCTATTGGAGGGCACTGGTCTATAGAACAGAATTCAGGCTGCAGTCTGAGTCACTTAACGAGAGGGATACATTTTGAAAAATGTGTCTTTAGGCAATTTCACCATTGTTTGAACATCGCATAACATGCTCACACAAATGTAGATGGTAAGGCCTACAGCACGCTGGGGATGGATGGTATGGCTATTGACCATAGGCTACAAGCCCACACAGCATGGTACCTTATTGAACACCAGAAGCAATTGCAACACAGTTGCTAAATTAAGTATTTGTGTATTGAAGCATATTTAAACATAGAAAAGGTGGAGTAAAAATATGGTATCATAACCTTGTGGGGCCACAGTCCCATAAACAGTTCACTGTTGACTGATAGTCATCATATCACGCGTGGCTTTATTGGACCCCGCACAGAAAGGAAGCTGAATAGGAGGTTGCAAACTTACTCTGACTTTGTTGTGGTCAGTCATTTTACATGACTTCTGTATGCTATTTTTTCCTAACCTAGCATCTGGTTTATAGTACAAGGTTTCTAAGCCATCAGTTTTGGGGAATCAATGAATTGGCCAGTCTACTTGATCAATAAATTGCTGTTGGTGTAGCTATGCCTTCAGTGTGTTGAAACAAATTCAGTGCTACAATACACCTGAAAGATA